AACTATATATATATATATATATATATATATATATATATGGAATTGCTTTAATGTTAGTAAACCTCCGAATTCTTTTTGTTAGAATTCTCTATGAAGAAATTAAAATATATATTTTTTACATGTTTAATAGGAGAAGTTTGACTTTCCCGATATTGTAAAGAAATAGATTTTGGCATCGTTAAACAAGAAGTGGAGGGATTTCCAAAGTGATTTGAAAGCTCGAGTTTTTTTATCCTAGTAAAACGGCAGAAGAGATCATTACCTCTAAAGAATTACCTCCTGGAATAAGAAGAGATCAATGGTCTACTTTGGTCAATAGATGGTTTACTCCATAAAGCTAGGTTTCAAAGTATTTCATATTGTAAGTTGCTTTCTTTTACCTATTTGTATGATTTATAATCAAATGTGTTTTTTTTTTAATGTAGAAAGCAAGTGAGGTAAATATCGTAGAATGCAAACAAAAATAAATGTGCACATACATTAAGCGTAAAAATTTTATGTAAGAAAAAAAAGAGAAATGGTAATTTTAATAATTTATAACTTTTCTTTTAAATATTATTTATGTATGAAATTAAATTAAATATGTATAATTGTTTGTAGGAAGAAAGGGATGGAAAGGAACCTGATAGGTTGACATTGTATGAAGCTACTTATAAGAAGAAGGATGGCACATTTGTGGATGACAACGTTAGGCTAAAAATGGTACTAACATTTTATTGTTATTTATTTATTGTTGATGAATGATATTTCATTATTCATTTATTTTGAATGTACTTGTCTTCATATTTATAGGAAAAGACGTGTTCTCTCCAAGCCGAGCATTATGAAGGTTCCTCAACCACCGAGTGTTAATGATATAAATGAAGAGATTTTTCAAGAAGTTATGGGTAAAGAACACAATGGTAGAGTTAGAGGATTAGGCTTGGGTCCAACACCAACACTTTTCTTTGATTTACAATCTCAACTTGGAAGTGGTCAAAGTAGTGCATCTACAAATCAATCAAGTGAAGTATAAGAAATGAAAGAGCGAGTTGCATAATATGCAAACCAAGTATGATGCAATGGAATCTAGATATAATACAATAAATGCGACATTAACTCGTCGTTACTACTTTCATTACGGAGAAATATCCCGATCGAATTTGATGCCTACTTCTTTGAATCTTACTCGGTATCATAAACTTTTAATTAAATATTTAATATTTTTTTATCTTAAGATATTTTTTATGAGTGTTTATATATGTGTGTGTGTGTGTGTGTACATGCATGCATACATACATATACATATACATATACATACATATATATATATATATATATATATGTATATATATAATTTTCAAATTGTGCTTTTGATAGGTTCGCAATGATGGTAATGGTAAAAATACTTCTTCTCTTAATCGTTCATCACAATCGAGTCATTTGCCAAAATGAAACATTAGCCACTTATTTCTAAATATATTTAGAATTTTGTTTATGTATTTCGAACGAGTGTTTAAGAATATTACGAATGTTTGACGACTTTTTATTTAGTTTTTTTTGTTATTTGTGAATGTTTGACGACTTATTATGTGTTTAGAATTTGATAATTATAAATTTAAGAATATTGTAGTAGCTATATAATTTTAATTTTTTTTACATTCAAGCAATTGAATTTGAAAGTGAAAGTTAAATAACCATCTTTATGAATTATAAAATTTGCATCTATGAATTCTAAAATTAATTTTATAAATTCTATAATTTGGGTGGTTCGAACCGCCCCTACAAATTCTAATCTTGTGGCGGTTCCAACCGCCCCTACAAATCCGAACCTCGAGGCGGTTGCAACCGCGCCTAGAAATTTGAACCTCGAGGCGATTGCAATCGCCCCTAATATTTCCCATAAATTTTTAAAAAAATTTAGCAATGTAGAGGTAGTTCTAAACCGCCGCTATAATTACGTGCCAAAAAATCGAGATGATAAAATTTGCATTGTAGAGATAGTCGAAACCGCCTAAAAAAAAAGTTTACGACGATTTCAACCGCCTTAACATCGTAGAGACGACGACATTCCGGGTGGTTTTGGAGCGATCGAAAATCGCCCTACATATATGAGGTTGTCATAACCACCTCTTCAAGATATATATATATATATATATATATATATATATATATATATATATATATATATATAAACCGTCCGTAATATCCTTTTTTGGCGTAGTGTCTCTTGCAACTTCGTAGCATTCCGATGGTAATATCTAGAAGGTTTTTGCCTAGTACGAAGATAGGATTAAAAGGATGGAGGATACCACCTACCAACAAAATAGTCAAGTTAACAATATGCAAACTCAATTGTAGAGAGTCATAGGATTGTTAAAGAACCTCCAACTATTTCCCTTCTCTTTTGTTGACCCTCCCATAACCCAACAATCAATCGTTCCTTTCAACAACCAACAATCGAAAGATGATGAAAGATATGGTGATAATGAGAACAAAATTTCTTTTTTTTTTGTTTAAAACTTTTTAAAATGTTTTTATATATCTTAATACATTTATATATTTATTTTATTTTATTTTACATAATTTTAATTTTATTAAATAATATATTGTATTTTAATAAGATATTGTTTATAGTTGTTTGTTATTACAACTCCTAATAAACGGCTATTGATTTTATTTTTAAAGAAAAAATTAGTGATAGATTTAGCAATGGAATAAAGAGAGTAATTAGTGCGGATACATATATAGTCACTAAATAGCGATGAAATTGTGAGGATATTAGCAACTATAATTTAACGACAACGCATTTTGTCTCTATTTAGCAACAGATTTAAGTGGAAATAGCAACAGTTTAGCAACGAATATGAGATATTATAGACGATTGATTTAGATTGATTTAGTGATGGAAGGTCAACAATTTAGTGGCGAAAAAAAATCGATTACTAAAAAAATAACGACCACTATATTAGCGACAAAATCCATATTGTCTCTAATTGCATATAGCAAGGGTTTTTTTGACAAATAATAACGATCGCGATGGTTTTTTGACAAATAGCAACGAAAAAATTCGTCGCTATGTAGTGAAATTCTAGTAGTGTTTAATTCTAATCATTGAGTCCATAACTAATAATTAAAAAAATTTCATTAATCTCAACTTGATAGTTTTTAATTTATTTTACCTTGACGCAATTCATAATATTAATTTTCATTATGTGAAATCTAATTATAAATTTACACATGAAATTAAATGAAAGGATCAAGTGATAAATTATTTGATGTGCCTATGCTACTTTTAAGAATATTTTTTTGAACAACCACTTCAAAAGAATAAAGAATAACATTTTTTATACTCGGTTGAAGAATCATGATCAATCTCAAAGTGAAAGATAAAAAAAAAAATAAAAAAACTATATAAAATAATTTTTATATAGTTTGAAATTTTTCCATAACTAATAACATTTTTTAGGCATGAAAATTAAAGGAAACACAAACGTGAGATTTTTCATCGAGAATATTCATTTGTGTTTTTATTAAATTTTTACTTTTAAACCTAATTGAGTTTTTTTTTTTAATACCAACCTAATTGAATTTATTTTGAAATTTTAGAGGTGAAAAATAAATTTTTAATTATTTATCAAATTATAAAATAGTAAAATAATTTGAGGAGAAAGTTTCTTTCAACAAAAAGAGGGTAAAATTATGGTTTTATATTCGAATACATTATCAATTAATGAAGAAAGTGATGGAAATACTTGATTGATAGTTTTGAAAAAATTAATATACTCAAAAAAAAAAAAATTAAAATTCACGCACTACATTAAGAAAAAAATATAAAATTATAATTTGGTATTTTGAGGGTACTGTACACGTAATTAGTTAACGAAAAACTAACAAAAGTACTTGATAAATAATTTTAAAAAATTAAATGTACTCAAATGAAAAATTTATGTATCAGATTGAAAAAAATTAAAAGTTGATATACTTACAGTGTAACTATCCCAACTCCTTAAATGCAACAGGCGAATCAATGTAAGAGGAGAGCCATTGAAATCATCTACAGAGAATTATTAATCTCGTCTTACTTTACAAGTAAACTGGATTAAAATTAGAATTTATATGCGATTCTAATTACCCTATATATGCACTACAGATTTTTTATGTAATTATTTTGTTCTAATATGCATTATAAAAAAACAAACCATAAATTATTTAATTAATAAGTATAAACAACTTATTAAAAAGATTTTTAAAATTTCAAAAGATTAACCTAAAAATTTAATAGTTTTTCGAAATGTTTTAAAATATTGTAATTCTTTAAATTCTCAAATTTACCGAGGGCAAAGCCCCAGCAGTCATACTAGTTTTGCAATGCTACAATGAATGATGGGCAAAAGACAACTTGGCCAACAAACATTTATATAACTTATCCCACCTTGTCTCTTGGTTTAATGTACCACACAGAGAAGAAGAAGAAAAAAGGGCGGCTTTTTTGTTTAATGTATTAGGCTACATATAATGAATTTGAAGTCACGAATGGCATAGGAAAACTAATAATGGCAACTTTTTGGCTATTTAGATTTTGTGAGGGTTCCTGAATTTCGTGTTTTCATAAAATGAATCATTTTCTTTTATTATTCTGTTATGTCCATTTTAAGAAAGGTACTGGACTTTTGTAGGCGTCACGCTTGTAATCCTTGGCCATTTGCTGCTTGCAATTCATGGTTTTTTTTAATGACTTTCTTATGATCTTCATCTAACTTTTTATTAATTCTTTGGTTTTTCATTGTTTTCTTCAAAGGGAAAAGGAAGGATTCATGGCTTGTAGGCGAAGAGTAGAAAACAAATCCACAAACTATGCCTAGCACAACAAAGTGCCTCAATGCTCCAGCTTCATACTAAAACAACAAAAGGAAAGGCATGAACAACTAAGTGCCCACATTATTTGAAAGAAAAACTTCTCCGACGTGAGAAAAATCATACTGGTTTGCCTATAGATGGAGGCATGTATATATGTCCTCCTAATCCACCCCAAACCTCTTCCTGAGCTCCAAGACAAACTCGTACACCTTTTTTGGATCTTGAAGAGACTTGGATACACTCTCTTTCAGCATGCACCTCTTGGCCCATGCAATGATCTTGGGACACTCAGCCTCAATGCTAAAGTTTCCACAGGTCTCAAAGGCATAAAACCAGCAATAGAAAGGGACAAATGCAACATCTACATACCCAAGGTTCTCACCCCCAAAATAGGGCTTGTCTCCAAGCTCTCCTTCCAACAACTTGAGGCACTCAATGAAATCCTTTTTGGCTGCCTCCATATCTTCTCCTTTCGTCGTCCATATCTTCTTGCTATATTCAAATACCTGAAAGATTCATAACACACCATTTTAAATGAATTGGTCCTAGCTCTAAGTAACTATAAGTACATCTTGGCAAAGAACCGAAAAGGGATTTGCTCTACATACTTCTGTGTTACGTACACAATCATCTCACACGCACACACAGCTCAGAACAGAAGATTTAGCAAAGTCTAAGTATATATGCTTACCTTTTTATCAATAAAATCACCCCAGAATAAGGACTGGGCTCTTTGGTAAGGATCAGAAGGCAGCAACGGGGCCTTGTCCTTCCATGCACCATCAACATACTGAACAATAATGAGGGATTCACAAACTGATCTTCCATTGTGGATGAGAGTTGGGATCTTCTTGTAAACTGGATTCATCTGAAGAAGCAATGCACTCTTGTTCCTCAAGTCTTGTTCACTGTACTCATACTTGACTCCCTTCTCTGCCAATGCTACTCTCACTCTTATTCCGAAAGGACTTGCCCAAAAATCCAACAGTGTCACCTCATCAGCCATTGTTGTTGTGAAAAAAGTAAAACTGAATGAGATCGGGATAACTTTTTCTTCCCTTTTAGAATGGTTGTGCCCTTGATAATAAAATGGGGAGCTTTTTATGGCAGGTTGCTTATCTTCCTCCGTGGATTGTTTGTGGTTGTGATTTGTGAAGCTGTGATAAATATTGAAAAAAGTACTGTGCTAGTGGGCAACATTGTAAGAATCTTGAAAAAAGTCTGTCATGCCTATGGTCATTTTCTTACAAATATTAGATTATTGTCATCAATCACTGACTTCGAAAAACATTTGGAGCGAATCGGATTGTGGAAATCTAACTATTCTTATTTCAACAACCCTAATTTTGTCTGACTTGAATTATATATGTTTAGTTCAGTTGCCTTCTCTCAGAAGATAAGGCATGGGAAGGTAGTTGGCTACAGAGGAGATTTCAATCGGATTTTCCTTCTGGAGAGTCAATTATAAATTAATCCCTATTTTTTTTAGAAATAAATTTTAATCCCTTTTATTTCAAAAACTAATCATTTAATTTTTTATCATTAAATTTTCATCAGATTTATCAAATTAACGTCTAATATTTAAAATACTTTTTAACATATGTATTCATCTATGGAGATGTGTTTTGGTGTTTGAGGAAGAAAAAAGAGAGTGAAGATTAATAAAATAAGAAGTATGAGATTTGAGGAGAGAAATGGAGATTTATTTTGGTGCTTGAGAAGAGAAAGGAAGGAGATATGTGTGAAGAATAAAAATAATATATAAAAAGAGCAATTTTGAAATAAAAAAACTATAATAAGGACATCCCATTACCACTCTATCCAAGAACTAACAAAAATACTGAATTATTAACATAACTAAAACACGTGGAACATGTAGATTAAATGATTAATTTTTTTTAAAAAAAGGGATTTAATAATTTATTGTTTAAAATAAGAGAGACTAATTTATAATTTACTCTTCATATGCTTGACAACTATTTTATCAAAAAAAAACTCTATTAATTTGAGTTTTTGAAATTGATTTGAATTTTTTTATTTTTTAGATGTATTAAAATGAGTTTTAATGTGCCAAGCAAGTTTTTTGAGTTGATTTTAATGATTTTGAGGGGTTTTAAAATAAAAATAGCGATGAAATTGATTTGGAGGGGCAAAAATGTGGTAATCTCAATTTTCCAATGATGTTTCTGGCAATCACAATTTAGCCAGAAGTTATAGGCAGGTGACGCATCGTCAACCATTTCACTTTTTTTTTTTTTTTTTTTTTCAAAGGGTTGGCCCTTGAGTGTCCAGTACGTTTCTCCAAGCCCAACGATGCAATTAGCCTGTCATGTGTAGGCTCGACTTGACTTTTTTTTTTTTTTTTTTTGTAATTGATTTTTGTTATTTGATTTTGTACTTATATTTTGGAAAACTCATTATTATTTTTTGAATTTTACACAGCCAACCGAAAAAAAAATATTGGTGATATGTTTTTATAGTTTAAACTTAACATTTATTTCAAATTATATTACTCTTATTATTTAAAATTTATTTATTCAATTTGTTATTTGTTATAAAAATTCTGGCCTCGATTAATTTTTTTCTTTTCTGTTTTTATTAAATTTTATTTATTTATAAATATGATTTATTTTTCTCTATGTCTAGATTTTAGAATATTTTTTTATAAACATGATTATTACTTTTTATTAAAAAACTAATAAATATAGTTTGTATGATGGATTTTTATAATTTTTAAATGAGGCTATCATGATCCTAAATACATATATTTGATCTAAAAACTAGAAGTGTATTGCAAAAAACATATTCTCAAGTTTTCAAAAAAAAAATAATTTTAAAAATAATTAATTGATAATTAAAGTAAGAAGGATACAAAAAAAAAAAAAAAAGCGATTTTTATAGGTACAAGGCCTATGCGCGGTTAGTAAATATGTATGGCTTAGACACAAAAATATATGTTAAGAAGAAAAAAAATAGAATCTATGTGTTCTATTTATTTCTTCTTTATATAATCAAAATTTATCAAAATTAATTTTATACGAGTTTTTATTAGAAATTAACTATAAATATACACACAAAACACTAGACATTTACTCTTTTTTTATTTTTTTAATATTTTGAAATCAATTTTTCTCAAATATAATAATTAAAATTATGTTTTAAAAAAAAGTGTGATGATACTATACTTTTTAAATAGAGTTTTTTATACAAATATTATTGATTATTTTGGATATATATATATATATATTCTTACAAGTTTTTAGTTAAGAATTCATATATAAAAAAATAAAACATATTTTTTAACAAAAAAATTATGAAAAACATATTGAATAATTATTTAATTACAAATTTTTTAAAAAAAATAATGATTTTTTTTTTTTTTACCTTTGATTTGATATATTTGATAGATTCATATTATAGCATGAACCATCAAACTAATCTGTTGGATCAAATAGTGTAGTGCATGTGAAAAATTAGTTAGAATGTTTATGCTTTACTACACCTTCCAATAAGCTTGGAGATAAATATGTCATGATGATAAGTGGAAGGAACATAGATCTTATTGGAAAAAAGTTCAGCAAGGCCATGAAACAACTAAATATCAAACACAAGGCCTTTACTCAATCGTTGGAATAACAATATAGGTAGAAAATGAAAGACATGCAAAACCACTATAACGAATTAATGATTGCCTATGATAGGATAACTCATGCTCTTGTAAAGTCTAATATCCAAGAAAGACATAACACGGTCTCTAAAATCATGCATGAGTTAAATGTTTTCCAAACCTTAGAAAAACAATTCCATTTAGGTTTCAATCAAACCCTTATAGATATCAGTAAGCACATTGAATCTAAAATAAAAAATGAGTCCGATAATGTTCTTAGTGATTTTAATCATACTATATTCAAAAACGAATCCATAAAATATCCAAACAAGTGGTTTTGGAAGTAGGAAACCAACTAGAAGAAAAAATACCCAAAATTGCTAACCAATTTAAATCTCTAGAGCCATCCCACTTAGGAGGGCTTATAGTGATTCTTACAAGGACGTTGGTGGCTATAGAGCAAGAGAGAATCCTTTTTTGAAAGTAGGCAACTTCATCGACTCGTTTGCGTAAACTTGTTACTTTAGATGAAACCCAATGTGAAAGAGAGTCTAGGCCTACAATTTGGCAAAAACCTATCACACTAAATGAGACCAATTGTGAAAAAGAATCTCATGAATCCCCGAAGGGGAGGAACCATCTCTAGTGGCAATTATGAGGTTTGACTTTATGGTAACAATCATTTGGTTGCCATGATAAATTTAGTGGCAAGATTCATATTTTGTAAATTTTCTTTTTAATTTTCTCTTTCTTATTTCTATTTGTTTGGTATATCTATCTCTCTTTTATAGAGTAATTTACACTAATTATTCTATAAGTAATATAAAATTCTTCATAAAATTTTTCCACATGCCAGCTTTTACCATCTTTAGCATAAATGTTGTTGGATGTAGAGTTGCTAAATATTTGATAAATTGCCCTCGCGATCAAATAAATGTTGCTAAACATATATAATAAAAGCAATTGCTTGAAGTGTTATATGGCTATTATAACATTTACTTATAAACAAATTTCATTTAAAATGCCAAAATGAGTCTTAAAAATTTATGAATTTTATTTATAATTGTTAAAGAAAATTGAGAGGAAAAATTATATATTCTCACTTATGTAGGTTACAATGCATCGAATATATATACAATAAGTCCTATAGTCAAAGTAGGAAACTTCCTAATCTAGGGATAGAAATAATCTTAACTAGAGTCCCTCAAATTAAAAGATAACATTAACACCCCTAATATCTATTAGATAATAATAATAATCATATTTACGAACTAATATACATCTCGACACTCCCCTCAAGTTGAGAAATAGATATCTTCCATTCCCGAGTTTGGAAATATTATCATGAAAATTAGAGTTGTTCAACCTTTTGGTAAGACCATCTACGAGTTGGTACCTTATAAGAACATAAGATAAATATAATAATCCCTCCTCCAACTTCTCTTTGATAAAATGCCTATCAATCTCAATATGCTTGGTCTTATCATGTTGTGTAGGATTATGAGCAATGTTGATAACATATTTGTTATCACAAGTAAAGTTTCATAGGACCTTCCCACTTAATTCTCAAGTCGTCTAAGATAATCTTCAGCTACAACATCTCACATAAACCTTGAGCAATTGCTCTAAATTCGATTCGACAGATGATCTAGCCATAACATTCTATTTTTTACTTCTCCATGTTATAAGATTAGCTCCAAAGAACATACAACACCCGATAGTTTATCTTCTATCCATTATAGATCCTCCATAATCTGCATCAATGTAGACTTCAAAGGCAAGATTCCTTTGTCTTTTGAACATGATTCCTTTTTCCGGATTTCCTTTCAAATATTATAACACTCTATAAGCGGCTTATAAATATGACTCCCTAGGATCATGCATGAATTGACTTATTACACTTACGAGTATGTTATGTCTAGTCGAGTATGTGCAAGGTAGATGAGCCTTTCTACTATCCTCTCGGTACATTTTTCTATCCACTAGAGGTTCTTCTTTGGCTTTTTTGAGTTTTTGATTAGCTTCAATGGGTATAGATATTGGCTTACATCCAATTTTCCTTGTCTTTTTTAATAAATCAACCACATATTTTTGCTCGGATATGAAAATACCCTTTACGGAGTATGCCACCTCAATACCTAAGAAGTATTTCAATCTCTTAAGCTCATTTATCTCGAATTCCTTGACCGGTCGTTATTTTAATTCTAGTTTTTCCTTTTCATCATTCCTATTGATGATGATGTCATCTACATACACTAAAAGTTTTTCACTCCCCTACAGATGAGTTCTTTATGAAAAATGTATGATCACCCCGACTTTGTTGGTATCCGAAGCTTTCATAACGTTAATAAACCTTTCAAACCATGCTCTTGGTGATTGTTTTAGTCGATAAAGGCCTTCTTCAACCTATAAAATTTATTCCCTATTTCTTCTTTAAATCCTAGAGGAACATACATATAATTTTTTTCATCTAGGTTTCCTTAAAGAAATGCATTCTTCACATTGTATTGTAACATATTGCCAATCAAAATATGCTACTAAGGATAACGGAATCCTAATAGTGTTCATCTTTTCCACAGTGCAAATGTCTCCTAATAGTCTACCCCATAAGTTTGAGTATATCCTTTAGCCATTAACCATGCTTTATACCTCGAAGTGATCCATCGACCTTATACTTAGGTGTAAATATCCATTTACAACCAACTATGTTCTTCCCTTTTGGTTTATCCTTAATCTCTCATGTTTGATTCTTTTCTAGAGCAATCATCTCCTCTTTTATAATATTTCTCCATTCTTTTTTGATAATGCCTCCGATACGATAGTAAGGATATAAATGGTATTGAGGTCGGTAATGAATTATCTATGGTTTGGTGATAGGTTTTTAAGTGATACATTGTGAGACAATGGGTACATGGGTCTTTTGGTGCATTCTCTATTGCCTTTTCTAATAGCTATAGGAAGGTCATTGAGTGGTTCTACCAAATGTATACTTAGGGTTGGATTCTCAAAGACTATGTAGGATTATTGAACTTGTTGCGGCTCCGGAATAGTCCTTCTAGTATATACCGTGAAAATTTTAGATCACTATGAATAACATGATACGAAATTTGAGAAGATACAGTTTCGAAACCCAGGTTAGATTCGGATTAGATTCTACGAGATTAGGAATTGATGATGGACTCTGTTTTATATTACAAACGGACTCTAATGGAGAACCAACAATAGGAGATGGAACTAACTTTACCTGGATGACTAGGGAGATCAAGAGGATAAATACTATCTTTTAATAGTGATGTAGTCTCCTCTCGAAAATAGGACTTTTTAAAATATGGTCGGTGTTCTATGAAAGTGACATCAACTGAAACATAAAACTTTCTTATGAGAGGATTATAGCACTTGTAGCCTTTTTGTGTAGAAGAATAACCGGGAAAACACACTTGTGTGCTTGGAAATCTAACTTTCCTCTTTGATGACTATGAATATGAACAAAGGCTTTACAACCAAACACCCTAGGATCGAGTCCATTAGAACTTCGAAACTCCGGATAAAAGGTATTGAGGACCTCCATAAGACTTTTATGGGAAAAAACTTAAGAGGGTAGTCTATTAATCATATGAGTGGTCGTGGAGAATAACCTCCCCTAATAAGATTTTGGAACATTTTCTTGAAAAAGTAAGACCCTAGCCATATTGAGAAAGTGCCCATTTTTGTGATGACCCACCCTATTTTATTAGGGTGTGTCAACACAAGAGGAGTCATAAATGATTCCCTATTATTGAAAGTATGGAATTAATGTATGGTTGAAGTAGTCCTTAGCATTATCTAACCTAAAATTCTAAATTTTGACCCTAAATTAATTACGAATCATAAAAAGAAAAATAAGGATAACAATACTAGTATCAAATTTTTGTTTGAGTAACTAAAGCCAAGTAACCCAAGTACAACCAATTATCAAGGTAACAAACCATTTAACACCAAAGATATTTGAAACAGGAGAAAGGTCTCATATGTCACTATGGATCAAATGAAAAGGTTTAAAACTTCTTTGATTAGTGATAGGCAAAAGATATATGAGTGTGTTTTGCTAACTCACAAATTTCACAATGAAAATGCGAAATGTCTAATCCTTTGAACAAGTTAAGAAACATGAATTTAAAGACTATAAACGTAGGATGACCAAGATGAAGGTGATGGGCCAAATGATCTCTTCATTGGAAGAACTAAATAAAGACATAAATAAATTATTCATAATACTCCGAGAAGAATCAAGGTGATAGACCATTCCTTTCCTTAGCAAGTCCAATCTTTCTCATTGAGCCTTGATCCTACAAAACATAGTAAGAAGGAGAAAAATTACAAAGCATTTAAGATCATGAGTAAGTTTTTTTTATTAAAGCTAGGTTGGTTGATAATTTTGACACATGGAGTGCATTTTTAAGAGTGAGAGTAGGTATAACCATGATGTTTTCTATACTCGCAATAGTAACCAAGGATCCATTTGCCATTATGATCTTTCTATCACTAGGGAAGGGGTTATAGATATGGAAAAGCTGTGATGAATGAGTCATATGGTATGTGGCTCTAGAATTAATTATCTATGAATTGGTATAGTTTGTATTTGAGACATACATGCAATTGGAGAATGAAGACTTACCCGAGAGAGCTAATGAACAAGGCCCGGATGGTTTTTCAAGGGAACCTAACAAGTTTTTTTTATTTTTATATCTCCATACTATTGAATCTACCATTATCCATCTTTACTTCCTCATTGACTTTGTTCTCGCCGAGTGAGCTTAAGGTTGAGATCTTTGCTGAAACCTTGGTTGCTCTTCATAGTTTCCCCACTCGTGACTTAGTGGTTTACCATTTAATTTCCAACATCTTTCTTTGGCATGTCTCGGTTTCTTACAATATGTACACCATATGTTATCTCTCGTTATCCTTCAACTAAGAATATTTGTCGAGTCCTCCTCTCTTCGGTTGATCTCTTTTTATTGCTAGTGTAAACCCTTCGCTATTGGGACTTTAAACATAATGTTTCTTCTACTTTCCTCGACTCTAATCAATGAAATTGTCTCTTCCAATGATGGCATCTCTTCTTTATCAATAATTTGGACTCTTACCCGGTCAAATTTCGGGTTCAAACCAAACAAAAAATCGTACACTCGATCTTTCTCAATAAAATTCTTTAGGATTGCAACATCCTTCGCACACTTTATCTCAAATACTCGATAATGATCAAGTTCTTGCCATAAATTCCGCATGATATTAGCATATTCTATAACAATTTTATCTCTCTCGTTTTGTTGCCCTAGTTTTGATTTTTACCTCATAAATTCGGCCATATCACAATCCTTTGAGTAGGTACGCGGATAAACTCTTAAATCTCTTTTGCGAAGCAAGAAACATGCAAGTGTCACTAATGGTAAAATCTATCAAATCCCAAAGCCATGATATAATCATTGAATCCTCTTCATCCCATGCTTCAAATGCTCGGGTCTTTCTTTTCTGGTCCCTTTCCTATGATATGGCTAAGTCTTCTTTTACCCTTTAAGCATGTACAAATGAATTGAAACCACTTCGCATTGTTTTTTCCATCGAGTCGATGGGAAGCCCTAATGTTTTGTAACTCGCTAGGTTTTTGGACGTAATTTACTTCCTCCGAGATGGAATTTTCGATTGTAGACATAGTGAAGGAATAGAAGGTTTAGAAGAAAAAAATGTGGAAAAATTACAACAATTAAGGCTATGGAAAAAAAAACTAAAGAAAACCGACATCAATGAAGGCTCTACAAGTGGCAGAATTTTAGCAAAGAAACCCTAAGGCTTTGATACCATGTTGAAGAAAATTGAGAGAAAAATTATATATTCTCGCTTACGTAGGTCACAATGCATCAAAATATATATACAATAAGTCCTAGAGTTAGAGTAGGAAACTACCTAATCTAGAATGAGAGATAATCTTAACTACAATCTCTTAAATTAGGGATAACATTAACACCCTCAATATCTATCGGATAATAATAATGATCATATTTACGACTAAGATACATCTCTATAATAACATTTGCTTATAAAGAAATTTTAAGATGGTTGGCTTAAGCAAAGAGAACTCTAATTGTTTAAACAAGTTGTTTTGGATTTGAATCCTTGTGTATGCAGAAAACTCTTTACATAGCCGTGTCCGCCTTGTGCGTCCAATAGAATAACGAGAGATTAGTTTAAGCTTTTAGACTTAGAATACCTTAAGGATAAAAAAAAATTATGGATTTCCACTAAAATTCGATTTTGTTGTGGTGAAGGGATTTTTACTTAATTTGTATGCGTTTTTCAGTAACACAAGAGACAAACAATCCATCCATTTTGTGCGAACTCCATAGAAAATAATAAACAGATCAAACAAGTAGAACCAAAAAATCTAGCAAACTCAAAGTGTATCCATAACCATACCTTTTTATCAATAAAATCAGCCCAGAACATGGACTGGGCTCTTTCATAAGGATCATAAGGGGAGCAAAGCGGCCTTGTCCTTCCACGCATCATCAATATACTGAATAACAATAATAATAAGGGATTCACAATTGGTTTTCCGTCGTCGAAGAGAACTGGAATCTTCAAACTGGGTTCATCTGCAGAAGCAAATCACTCTTGTTCGTCAAGCCTTCCTTCTCTGCCAATGCTATTCTTTCTGACTCTCATGCCGAAAGGGCAAATCCAGAAATTCAAGAGTCACCTCATCAGCCATCGTTGAAGTGAAAAAAGAATCACAACATCACAAATATTCCCTACTATTATGATTTTAATTTTAATCCAAAGATCACAAATATTTCCTACTGTTATGATTCAACAGTGTCAACTCATCAGACAGCATACACCCTTTGACATGTGTAGGCCCGATGCTCTTACTGTTAATGATTCCAAATTTAATTTGACGGTTTAAGCTTGAGAAATTAATAAACAAGAAGATAAGCCCAAAAAGTGAGTTCAGATTCTAGCACAAACAAGTCACAACTGAGTGCGCACAATATCATTTGAGCAGAAGCGATACCAAACAGAGAAACAGAAACCAAAGTACCAAAAACTAGCTTGCATATGGATGCACATATCCTTCCATATACCTACTCAAGCCCAAACTTCTTTCTCACCTCCCCCATGAAGTTGCAGACCTTTTGTGGATCTGCAAGAGATTTGGATACGCTCTCCTTCTGCATACACCGTTTACACCAAGCAATCAACTTGGGACACTCCTCCTCTATGCTTAAGTTGCCAAACGTCTCGTATCCATGAAACCAGCAGTAGAAAGGGACAAGAGCAACATCCATATAACCGAGTTTGTCACCTTCAAAATAAGGCTTGTCTCCTAGCTCTCCTTCCAACAACTTCAGGGACTCAATGAAATCTTTCTTGGCTGCCTCCTTCTCCTCTCCTTTTTCTGTCCATGTCTTCCTCCCAGGACCGTACACCTACAGATTAATAGCCCACCATTGTAAAGTGAATTAATTAGTGGTTGGATGCTGAATACACATCACACCACAAATCACATATGCATTTGGATAAGAAAGAAACTGATCTGAAGTCAAAATTACATTAATTCCTTTTCAACATGGTGTGGTACAAGGAGAAAACATAGGCATGGTATTTAGAATGTGAATTAGACACATACCTTCTTGTCAACAAAATCTGCCCAGAACCTGGATTGAGCTCTCTTGTAAGGATCAGAGGACAGCAAAAGAGACTTGTCATTCCACATCTCATCAACATACTCAACAGCAATAAGAGACTCACAGATTGGTTTCCCGTTGTGAATGAGAACTGGGACCTTCTTGTAAAGCGGATTCATTTGAAGAAGCAGAGGACTCTTGTTCCTCAAGTCCTGTTCAATATACTCGTACTTGACACCTTTCTCTTCTAATGCTATTCTCACTCTCATTCCAAAAGGGCTTGCCCATGTATCCAAAAGAGTTACAGCCATTGGTGAAGTGAAAAGAACTTATCACCAATGTAGAAGATTTCTTAATTTCTTCCCTCTAATTGCTAGAGAATTATGAGAAGGGTAGTGAAGCAAGTGCAAATCTTGAAGCTGATTTTATTTGTTCAGAATTCAACTATATTAAACATGTCAAGATTTCGGGAAAATAAATAACTTTATCCTGAGAACATGACTAATTAATATTATATATTTCCTAATTTCGAGAATTCAAAATGTAAATTAATTATTATAGTAGTATGGAATAAATTAATCATATTTTTACCTAAATCATAAGTAGACTGACAAACTCAAACAGTAACTTTAAGTAAGTGAGACTTCATTTATTTATTTATTACCCAACTTGCCATAGGGTAAATTACAGATGGAAGGTTGCAAATTAATTTGGTATGATCATCAACTCTTGATGAAGACAACTACATGCTACCACATAAATCCTTCCATATACATATGCAGGCCCGATGCTCGTATGTTATGATTTCAATTTACTATTGTTGTAATCGACTCATTTTTATTTTTCCTATACCAAGTTAAAATATATATTCTGGTTTATTTAGCAAAGCAGTTACCAAATTATTCAAAGCATTATAAATAGATAGAAGTAGCAAAGATTAACTGATATGTCTCTCCATTTGAGTCATTGAATATCTTAAACAATTGGAAGAAAATTGCAGATGCTGAGCAGAAGCAAGGATGTTGCCAATGGCTATCTGCAACAGGAGCTCCAAATGTCGATGATGGGGGCATTCCTTTTCAAAGTTTGAATTCAGGCCCTCCAAATAGAAATCACAAATTTTAATTGTTGATATATTTTTTGGAGACTGGAAACGAGTTACTTTGTTCTCTCTTCTAGAGCTATATCTACTCCATGGATTTTTAGGATTGCATGAAATGATTTTAATATACTTTGCAACTAGAATTAGCCTACGGTTTTAAAGTTTTAACAATAATAGAGTAAAGCTTTTCCATATAAAATATGTTCCTTATATTTAAGCTTGAGATATTCCTAAACAAGAAATAGTCCCAAAAGGTGAGGTCAGATTCTAATACAAACAGGTCACAACTAAGTGCCCACAATAATATTTTAGGATAGAAGCTTGTAGCTTTATACTAAAAAGAAAAACAGAAACCAAACAAGCTTGCCTGTGGATGCACATCCTTCCATCTATTCAAGCCCCAACTTCTTCCTGATCTCCACAACAAAATCATAAACTTTCTGTGGATCTTCAAGAGACTTAGATACACTCTCTTTCTGCATGCACCTCTTACACCAAGCAATCAACTTGGGACACTCATCCTCTATGCTGAAGTTACCAAATGTCTCATAGCCCTGAAACCAGCTATAGAAAGGGACGAGTGCAACATCCACATAACCAAGTTTGTCACCTTCAAAATAAGGCTTGTCTCCTAGCTCTCCTTCTAACAACTTGAGGGACTCAATTAATTCATTCTTGCCTGCCTCTAGCTCTTGCCCTTGTTTTGTCCATGTCTTCCTCCCAGGAAAATACACCTGCAAATTTATATCCCACCATTGTAAAGCGAATTACCTAGCTACTTAAGTGGTTCAAAACACAAACATTTGGAATAACAAAGAAACTTTTAGTCAAAATTCACATCAATTCTTTCAATTGGAAAATCCCAATTTAGCTTCTTTCTTTGTGTTATTTCTCCAAACTAGACCCTGTTAAAAGAATGTCATCAAAGGTATCATACATTTGTCATCTTTCCTCGAATCAACCCAATTGGACTAAATCATAAAAATATAATTCTTCATAGTTCGTTTACAATTGACTAAATGTGACAAATATAGGGTAAATTTCACAAAATCTATAGAGCTTTGTTAGCCAAATCAATAAAATGGTTAAATTGGTGGACTTTTCAACTTTTTTTCAACAATAAAAAATTTCTCAGTCTATGAGGTAAAAGCAGAAAGCAAAACCAAGATAGAATGCAAAGGCACATACACACATACCTTCTTGTCAACAAAATCAGCCCAAAACTTGGATTGAGCTCTCTGGTAAGGATCAGAGGATAACAGAGGAGAATTTTCATTCCACACCTCATCAATGTACTGAACAGCAATAAGAGACTCACAGATTGATTTCCCATTGTGGATGAGAACTGGGACCTTCTTGTAAACTGGGTTCATTTGAAGAAGCATAGGACTCTTGCTCCTCAAATCCTCTTCCCTGTACTCATACTTGACACCCTTCTCTTCTAAAGCTATTCTCACTCTCATGCCAAATGGGCTTATCCGTGTATCCAACAGTGTTACAGCCATTGTTGAACTGATATAACTTCTTCAACTACGTTATACGACTGAAAGTATTTGGAAAAGTACGTTTTATCCCGACAACATGACTAATAGATTTAATTATTTAGTTAGTCCTTGTAGTTTGTAAAAAATTATTAATTAGTACCTATAGTATTAAAAATAATTAAATAATCATTTCCCCGATAGGATAAATTATTAACTACTTGAGGGTTGCACGTTTTTGTTTTTTTAGTTCAGAATCTAAGGGCACAAAACGGAAGGAGACTAATTAATTTGTTTTGTGAAACTAAAGGAACTAATTTATAATTTAATCTAATTCAATAAAAATAATTGGACAGGTATCGTAATTTTATAGAACTACCAATATAGCTTAACATTGTTAATTTAATTTTTTTTATAAAAGAAAACGATTAAAACAAAAGATGAATTTAAAACAAAAATGAATTAAAAAAAAAAACGATAGACCAAGAATAAAGAAACAATAAATAAAAGAATCATACGACCATTAATCCTATATAAAACACATTATCTGTATATGCATAAAGCTTTATATCTATCTCTACGATAAATATTTGATCTTCGAGTTGTTAAAAAGAAAAAAGAAAATTGAATAATTGTAATTTTGTCATGGCCGCAACCTTTCAGATAACACCACTAATTTCACATCATATTTACCTCCTACGCAGGACGGGATTAGAATTGCTTCAGAAAGGAGTGTTAAACTTTAAAAACTATTTGGATGAATTTCAAAACGAGAAAACTTAAAAGGACCAAAGAGAAAATATGATATTTTTGTTGGGATAGAATGCTTTCAAACCACAATCCTCCAAAGGAAAGGGCGGGGCCGCCCGTGCGAGACTTTCCATAATGTCCGACAGATCTAGCATGGTGAACGTCAAACAGATCCACGTGGTGGATTTGCTGACTATCATTGATTAAACGGCTTCTGGTTTGCCACGTACTACATTATTGTTTTTTTTGTTTTGGCAAAATCCCAATTTAGTCTTAAACTTATATATTCATTCTCAATTGCATCCCAAACATATAACTATTATCACTTAGGTCTCAAACATTTCTTACATTTCCCGCTTGTGTCCTTTTGTCAATTTCTATTGATAGTTTAACTCTAATTTGCATATTTTGTGTCCTAAAATGATGTCATTTTGAAGAAACTCCGAGGAAAAGGTTAATCAACTTTAACATTTTTCATTTAAAGTGATAACTTATGCACCAAAATAGCATCAATTTGAGACAGATAAATTAATAAAAAAACAGATTAAAAACTTAAATATTATTCAAAAACATAATAAATATAATTAGAAACACAAAGATAAATTAACTATTTATCCAGAAACGAAGGCAGGAAGTTCAGTTTTACTCAGCTAACTTCATTATAAATATGTATATTTACCTATTATCACAACCTGTTACAAGAAGTAAATGAGGGGCTACAAAGATCACACGTACAGGAAGAAAAACCAAAACCTAAGTCGAGCACAATTAAGTGCCCTCTCAAACTATGAGTAGACACAGTACAGGCAGTGCCCACCTCATTTAAAACATAAATCACACAGAACACAAGTACAGCAACTGTTAACAGGAAATCACACTTGCTTAGTTATGGATGCAAATTACTCGACCCCCAAGTTCTTCCTCAGCATCACAATGAAATCATAGACTTTCTGGGGATCTTGAAGAGACTTGGATACGCTCTCTTTTTGCAAGCAACTCTTACAGTAAGCAATCAGCTTGGGACACTCGGCCTCGATGTTGAAGTTGCCGACAGTCTCATAGGCATGAAACCAGCTATAGAAAGGGACGAAAGCTATGTCAACGTAGCCGATGGTCTCGCCTCCAAAGTAAGGCTTGTCTCCAAGCTCTCCTTCCAACAACTTGAGGCAGTCAATGAAATCCTTCTTGGCTGCCTCCTGATCATCTCCTTTTGTTGTCCATATCTTCCTTCCAATGTCATATATCTGCAGAGTCATATCCCACCATTGTAAAACAAATCATTATAGATGGTAAGCAAACATAGACTTCTTGGAATCACAAAGGTCGAAGGTAGTCCCAAGAACAAAGTCTTCATTAAAACTTCCTTGTTAACAACAGTTATTAATATCTTCTAAAGAGTAAAGCAAATTCAGAAAAGCAAAACCAATCACTGTTACAGAAGGTGTAAATTCGAAGACTGCTAATTTGGCATCAAAGATGCCGTTGAACATCTTTCAATTTTCTACGCTGAAAGTGACCAATAAAAAATAAATCGAATCTTCGCGAGCTTAATTATGCCTTCTTCTTTTTTCCCAATCAAGCAAGCGAAGTCTATCAATAAGAAAACTTCAATGTTGTCACTATCAATGATATATTTTTGGATACTTGAGGGTGACAAAACACCAATAAGTCAATAACCTTTACTTCCATAACTCCTTTACCAAATATTTACAGAAGTATCACCACCTAAACCCAAAATACGATCTTCAATGCATAAAAAATAACATTTTGTAAGCCTTCTTGTTATATCTTAAAGCAGTTGGAACCACCCATTTGGTGATCTTTATAAAGAAACATGGGTGATCTTTATAAAGAAACATCCTGCCAACCTCTAATTCTCATGAACTCACAAGAACGAAAATATAGTCCATAAAAGGACGAAATAATTAGAAACCTTAAAGACCAATTTGTTATCAACATCAACAATAAAAAATACACAGCCAACAACACTTGAAATGAACATCAAACAGACTTTCCACCATTCAATATCTAAGTTTGATATTATTCTCCGTGCTAATTGTACTACTAATCCCCCAGGTGTTTTTGAATTTTAAATTTTGGTCATACAAAATTCAAATTCTTTCGAACGGATCAAATCGTATGTGTGGGTTTAATCAAGTCATACCTCAAAAACAAAATCAACACAGAAAATCAAAAACAAAAAATTCATACCTTCTTGTCAACAAAATCAGCCCAGAACCTAGACTGAGCTCTCTGGTAAGGATCAGAAGGTAACAAAGGAGCCTTATCCTTCCACACCTCATCAATATACTGAACAATAATAAGCGACTCACAGACAGGTTTCCCATTATGGACAAGAACTGGGATTTTCTTGTGAACAGGATTCATTTGAAGAAGCAAAGCACTTTTGTTCCTCAAATCTTGTTCACTGTACTCATACTTTACACCCTTTTCAGCCAATGCTATTCTCACTCTCATACCAAAAGGACTTGCCCAGAAATCCAACAGGGTCACTTGATCACCAGCCATTCTTGAAGAGAAAAAGAAGAAGCTTCAAGTAAAAGTATTTTTCCTTTGTTTTCTTGGACTACAAAAGCTGAGTCTGGTCAGTGGGGGAAATGCGAATATTTGTAGTACGAAATGACTTAATGCGGCCGGTTTCTAGAGTTGTCCTATTGACCGCATGACATAGACATGTCAAGCCTTCTAGCAAATTACGTAATCAAGCACTTCATGCTCTCCTTTCTTTATGGTTCTTTTTGTTTCCTTCTCCTTGCATGCAGTTGATTCCAGGTCTTTCTAGGAGATGCTAGTGTTGGGCTCCCTCAAAGTTGGGTAAGTGTATTGGAGTTCGGATGTTTTTTCTGGCCCATATAGAGTAAATTATAAATTAGTCCCTCTTGATTGAGAACAAATTAATTAATTCCTATCATTTTACAAATTAATCATTTATCTTTTTATATTTTAATTTCATCAATAACTTAGTTCTTATCACCATAGTGCTTGTTTTTAGAGATGATATTTTTTATAGACCATATAAAATAAATATGCAATTAATTAGATATGAAAAACAATGCAGTTCCATATACAATTTTTTCAAAACTGTGGAATAGATGACATACTCAAATGGATGAAAAAATTAATAAAAATTTTTGCATTATTTTTGCTAAAAAGATTGCCACATATATTCAAGAAAGTATTGAATGGATAACAACCAATTAGTAATGAGATAATATGGACAAAGAGAATGTTAAGCAACTCCATTTTAAAATATAAAGTCTCAAATGAGTAGTGCATTTATAATTGTTATTCTTTTACTAAAAATTTCAATTCTAATATTTGTCTTGTTAATGAACAAAAGTTAAATAGTTTTCATAATAATCTAGCTTGTGATAGGCATTAAAAATCAAAATTTAATGATTGAGAATATCATTAGTTTTATGAGATAATGGAAAAACAATTAATAATACTGGGAATAATTTTTCAAGATAAAAATCATAATAATATATAGATAGAATTAATAATAAGCGAAAAAAATATTATGTTTCAACGTGATTACGTTTAACTCTAGATGATGAATTGAGATTTTATGTTCATGAAATGGAGGAGATTAATTGGATATGTATGATAAATTCAGCCCATAAATAACTTTAGCATAACTGATGAAGTAAAAATTAAAAAAAAAATTAAAAAAGAAAAGAGTTAAATAAGAAAAAGACTTGTAAAATTAGAAAAAAAAAGTTTTTATTTTATTTTATTTTTTCTATTTAACCGGCACGTAAACACAACAAAAGTTTTTATGGCCATTGTTGAAGTGAAAATGGAAACGTTGGAGTCTACGGGTTGTGTTTAGTCAGCGCACGTGGAAATTCGAGTGTTTGTAGTACTAGGAAATGGGCGAAGCGAGTGAATGTTGACAAGTCACATTGACTTCATGACAGAGACATGTCAAACATTCTAGCAAATTACGTAATCAAGGATTTCATGCTCTCTTTTCCTTATTTTTTATTCTTTTCTTTCCTTCCTATCCTTTCATTCCTACAAAATTCCAGTGTTGAGCTTTGTCAAAGTTGGATAGGTCTATTGGAGTTATTATTGATGTTTTTAATTTTCAGCCCCGTGTATTTTCTTTTTATTAAAAGTGGTTTTTATTTTTCTAAGAAATTATTATTTTTTATACGTTTTAAAATATTTTAATGATGGAGTTGAAAGATTTATGTGTGATCAAAAGATAATTGCTTGTTTATTAAAAATCTATATTTATAGTTTACGAG